CTTTATACCTGTGGTTCCCAAACTTTTCAGCTTTGACCCACAAAATAACATTAGAGACCTGTGACCCCAACTGTTTCTGGATGATAAACATTTGTATCAGGTCAACTAAACATAGGCATAGTAACAATATTTTTATACTACATTTATCCGTTTAAATATACTAACCTCACTCCTTTGTAACAACTACGGCAAAAATGTAATTAATTCAGAAAATCTTTTCAGGACCCCACCTTGATGTTTCAGGACCCCACTTTGGGTCCCGACCCCAACTTTGGGAAACACTGCTTTAGAGTAACAAAGTATTTGTACTTAGTTACTTTACAATTCTGACTGTATCTAAAAATATTAAAGATATTTTAAATTTAAATGATGATATGACATAATGGAATATAAAATGCAATGACTTAAATTATAAAATTTAAATTTAATCTATATTACATTGTCATGAAATCAGTGTCAGGTTTCCTGTTTTAAGGCCCAGAAGGTGTCAATATTCAGTGACTCAGTAAAGTTAACGTTGAAACTTATTTTTTTTCTAAATCTTTTCAGAAATATATAAACGTTGTGACAAATATGTTAAAGAAATACATAATTAAACCAGCTGCAGGTTTGAATTTGTTTCTTAAAGATGATAAAAACACACACAAACACTTGAATGTGAGAAAAACCTCACCTTTGGTTGAGAAGCACCACCCTGTGTGGGGTCGTACCTGCAGGACACGCACCTGTGGCTCATTAATTAACAGAGACCATCAGACCTGCTGCAGGCTGATCCACATCCAGGACCTGAATCTAAACCAGCGTTCAGCTGAAACAAAACCTGCATCTTTTATTATAGTATAGTTTACAAACAGTGCTTCATGTCATGTTGATTATTTTCCTATTTAATGTCCTGATTTATTAATATGACCTGGTTTCTCTCAGCTTTGTCTCCCCCTGCTGGTCAAACTGACTCATTACACATTTCAGCTCCACTTCTGAAAACCTACAGAGTTCAAAGGTATCTAAACAGTGACTTTTAACAGTCACTGTTTAGATATCTAAACAGTATCAAAGAGCAAATCTTCAAAGTAAGAAAAGGCTATGTAAAAGTTAAAATGAGATTAACTTTAGATAATATCTATAAGTAGCAAAATACTATCTAAAAGGTGCAACATGGTAGCTAAAAGTAAAAATGCTAACTAAAGTAAAATCTTTGATTAAATTAAGGACAGCAAAATGCAATCCTGATCATAATAAATATATTTTATAAGGATTTAAATTTAATTTTCCACATGTAATTCTGCAGCCGTTTCCTGTTATTTTTGAGTTTTAAAGTTTCTTTTAAAAACTGTAAAATATGGCAGTCGATCAAAAGTCAGGATTAGTGGTACAAATCCTGACTTTCCTGAAACATCTGAACTTTGAAGGTCTTAGATTTACTCTGCTCCTCACCAAAATAAACATGACAACAAACAAACAGCAACTGACACGGCAGCATTTCATGTAGGTCAGTGTGCACGCAATTCATCACAAGCTTTCCTAGGTGTAGTTAGTGTGTGTGTGTGTGTGTGTGTGTGTGTGTGTGTGTGTGTGTG